TTTACATAAAAGGGTATAATTGAACAGTCACTGTTATAAATTAAAAAGGCTTTATTCAAATATTTGTTGACCTTATAGTTAACATACAGTAAACCATTTTCTTTCTGGCGCTCAAAAATCCATATCATCAATTTTAAATGACTTCAATATTGTTGTGTTAGGGGAAAAATAACTTAAATGTGTATGCGTGCATGTGTGTTTTAAATGTACTTTTTATGTAAAGAACTTGCAAATTTGTATAAATAGTTAAGTGAATATTATTGTAAAAATTGTTTAGATGATAAATAAAATAATGTGCTTCTATATTGTAGATTTGTCATTAAAATAAGCATACCTTTTACGTATGTATTGCACATATGCACATATTAAGTCAATGAATATCAAATATAAATAAATAAATTAGTTAATACGGGGTGAAATATGAAATTTGTATGTTTGGTAATATTGATACTGCTTTAAGGTTCGGGGTTTTGCTAGTCGTTATGATATATTTTCAGTGGTACATACAATGAAAATGCCCTAAATAACTCATGAATGGCTGAGCTATTACTGGGATTAGGGCGTAAAATATGTGCTAAATATAGTAAATGAATCATTGTCTATGTCTGAATTCAACAAGTGCCAAAAAACGCCTTTGACAAACAGGGTTTTGAATCCAAGTGACATTTGGACATATCAGAAAGTTCTATAGTACAGTGTCTTGTATAAATCTTTTCTGTTCTCATAGTAGTAATTGTATAATAGGGGTTTTTCTTAAAGCATAAGCCAAGATATTGCTAGATAATAAAACTCGAGAAAATGTACTAAGATTTTAAGAAAAGTAAAAATATTCAAGATTCAATATTAGTAATATTTCTACTGTAGTGCGTGTATTTTTGTGTTTTATATTCCACTATATTGTTTAATATTCCACTCCGATATAGATTTGACCCTTTATTCTTGCTTTTTCTTTCTTCAGTTCTTTGTCTTTATAAGTTATTCAAATATTAACTTCTGAATTATATACCCCGCTGACACTTTTAATTTAATTACAGTCGACCAACTCACAATTCTTTTTTCTTTCTTTCTCTGTCTTTTTCTCGGAAATATTATTACATATTGATTATTACACCATTATAGAAGCTTAGCATGATAGGCAGAAGCGAGGCTTAGTATAAGCTTCTATTCTGATAGATAACCTGTATGTGAAGATATTATACCCAGCTGCACTGCTAGTTAATGGTCGAATCACCCGCAACTTCTTCCCGGACTGGCACGATATTCTCAAGGAATCCAGAATCACCGACGTGCACAAACGCATATCTGATTCTCTTAAATCCAAATCAGACAGTATTCGTCAAGCATATGATGCACAGCTGTCAACCCATGATATTCGTAGGTCTGACGATGGCGCCGATCAGCCACCTTACACACCAAACTTAACTCAAGGGAAACCACATTCGACTACAGATACAGCCCGTTCACTAAACAATATACCGGAAGAACATTCACATGCAACGGCCTATCAAGCTGACAAACAAAGTAACGTAGACGACGTCTTGTCATCCCCACGCAGCAATACTCAACATAACACTGAATCACAGAACGACACAGTCTACCCCCCAAAGGACAGATCATCCTCAAATCATGATAGTGACAATAACGGGTAGGAGGTGCCGGGGGCAGTGTGCTCTGGCAATACTGACACTATTTACGAAAACAATGCTGTCAACAAATCAGGAATTAACATTTATGATACTTTTTTTTGCAATAAGTGCATGGAGTTACCCAGTACATCATCTAAAACTATATGTGAACATTTCAAATATTCTGGAAATACCCCTACTGCTACATGTAATGAATATAATTCTGAACATATAGCGTCAGTTTTAAAAGGACATTCAACAGACTTGAACTCAAGTAAACAGTATGTGCTGTCTGAATCTTCATTAACCCATTACTTCATGAGCATTTTGTGAAAAATGGCTGTTTTCATTGAAAAGTCTCCCGTTACAAGTTCAAATTGCTATAATACTATAAAAACTGCTTCAACACTAATCAAACTTGGCACAAATGTTGACAGGACCATTGCCCTTGCAACAACATGCTCAGGCTTAAATTTCCTGTTACCATGGCAACGAGGGGAGATCTCAAAATTGCCAAAAATCACTATTTTGCGTTGATTTTTTCCATCAAAATTGATTTCAAAGTGCTGCAACTTCTCAATGGATTGAGATAGAGTCAAATGCTTTTCAGCGTTGGTTACACGTTACCTTATGATCAATCTGGGGTCATTTACAGCCTCTCACAAGTCCAAAATTTTCTTGGCGATGAGGGGGACTCCGCCCCCTTCAACCCCCCCCCCCCAAACAGAAGGGGGCACATCCCCCTTCTGGCAACCCCCTGATGTATCTTTTGGTTGGGGGCCGCGCCGAAAAAGAGGTCACCTTTTTTAAGAACATTTCTCAAACAAAAACAAGTGTTTGGGGCCTAAATAAGGCATTTTTTCATCATTTCAGTCAACAAAAAAAGGGGGGGGGTGAAAAAGGCGTTAAAAGGCGTGTATATGAAGTAATGGGTTAAAAGTAGGTTGTCTTAATGTTTGTGGTCTGATGAAAAGAACCAAATACCCAGAATTTGTTGAAATGGTTAACACTTTTGATATTTTGTGTGTTGCAGAAACTAAGCTTAATAGTCATGATATAGTTAATGTAAATGGTTATACCTTTTTGTCTAAGCCCCGCAAGGAAAAGCATTTTAAAAAGTCTGGAGGCATAGGATTTTTTATAAAAAACTTTTTGATGAATAAAATTGATATAATTCAATCTGAAAGCGAGTATGTATTTTGGATCAAACTTAAAAAATTTTAAACAAAAGAGAATCCGATATCATCCTGGGCTCAGTGTATATTCCGCCACAACAATCTCGTTTTCATAACGATGATGCTTTTTTTCTTTTTCAAAACGAGGTTTCAAATATGTGCAATAAATATGAATATTGTATTTTGTTAGGGGACACAAATGCACACACCTCTGTTCTTGATGATTTTATTACAGTAGACGATTTTCTTCTAAATGAATTTCAGTTTGATGAAGAGATTATAAGCACTCTTAATTCAATAGATCTTATCAAATGTAATAGTAATATTTCAATCAGTCGTGCTTCAAAAGACACCACGACAAATGCGATTGCCTCAAAAATTTTAAACATTTGTAAAAATAATAACATGTTAATCTTAAATGGCAGACTAGGCAAAGATAGAGATATTGGAAATTTTACTTTTAGAGGAATATCTGTCATAGATTATATTGTAGCTTCAATCAAATGCTTTCCACATTTCACGAATTTTGAAGTCATTGAGACTGATCCCTTGTTCTCCGATGGGCATGCCATAGTTCAAGTAAATTTGTCACTGTTATTGTCCGACATGAACGATCAAGATACTTGTGCACCGGTAATTCGTAAAATGCCGAAATGGTCGGAAACTTTAAAAAATGAATTTGTTATGAATATAGATGAACACGAATTGTCGAACATAAATTATTCTTTATCAGATCTAAATACAAACCCGACCAAAGATAACATTGATAATTTATCTGTCATGATCGCGAACATTTTTAGCAATTCCGCCGAACAGCAAAATGAATATATCCTCGAAAGGGAAAAATTATCGGCTTTTTAAAAATAACATTGAATTAGAAAAATACCTTACCATACTCCCAATAAAATTAAGAATGTCAATGTTTAAATTTCGGACAGGGAACAACCGGTTACCGGTCGAAGTGGGGAGATGGAGGCAATCTTTTGTTCCGCTCGAGTCTAGGAAATGCACGTTATGCTCTTTAAATGATCTAGGAGACGAATATCACTATACCCTAGTCTTCCCTTTTTTCTCTCAATCCAGGCAACTATTTATACCTCGTCGATTTTATTCAAGACCAAATACATTACTTTTCAAAGAATTACTAAATACTAATTCATATAATATCCTTAAACAAATCGCTAAGTTTTTTACAATAATTCTAAAAAAAACCATTTCAGTAAATTTCACTGATAAAATTGCTATTCGTTGAGCTTTACTATTTACTATTATTTTATTATTATTATTTTTGTAAATCATTATTACTTACCGATGCAAACACATCCACTTATTACAAAATATTCCTATGAACAATAAATCCATTCATTAATTTTCACTCTGACTAGTACGCAAGCACTTTTGATTTGTAGCTCGATTTTCGACCACACCGTTGCTTGGTTACGCCGAAAGACCTTCAGTCCTGGCCACGCCTACTTTAGAATGAATGAAATTTTCTATGAATGAAAAATCGTGCTTCCCGTGCGCCAAGGACATTTATAGTAAAAAGTATAAAAATTACTTCTCAACGGTGTATTATTTTCAGTTTGTCCCGTTAGATTTGAATTTACCTATTCAATTTGTTTTTTATATACGAAGATACTTTATTTATCTAGAAAAACAACCTCACTACTACATTTACACATTGATCTTGTTAAATTGTTACATACGAATTTGACGTTTCATTGTTTATTTACTATTTCAGTGCACTAAGTAGTTTTTATATTACTATATATAGCGTATGTAAACATACTGTCTGCCAATCAACATTGACTGATTTAACCTGTGTTGACAAATATTTACTTTCATTACCTTCAATATAGCATTTATGTTTCTGTCATGCAAATCGGATTCAAATCATAACGCTCACGTTTTCTCACTCACAGTAAACTATTATGTTAACTTTGTCAATGTGTATTTTTTATTTGTTTGTCTTTTTTGTTTGTTTTACATTTACATGAGCACATTTAGATGTTTCATCACTGTCCCCATGTTAATTACCAGTACAATGTTTAAAACTTAATTTTCTGTCATGTTGTTCTGTATATGAGCCTGACATGAATAAACGTTTATGTTGTTGTTGTTGTTGTTGTTGTTGTTGTAAAGTACACTTATCTATTTCTGTATACATTGTAGTCTTGTTTTAAATTTTGAATACCTGTGTTAATATTTATGTATATTTTGTATGATACATTATGATAGCAATTTATTGAAAATAAATATTGTTTAAACTTTAAATCAAAGAAGTCCCTTCATTGAAGTTTGAAATTATATTTTGATAATTTTCACTGTGAAATTATGAAATATAATTTTCAAGGATAAATCAGTAATCCACTCAAAAGCATAAAAAAGATCATACTAGAAATATTAAAGTCAGTGTTTAAAAATAGTAAAAGGTTAAATAAGACAAAAAATATTGATTGAAATGAAACAATGTTATAATAAAAGATAGATTAAAAGATAAAGTGAACACTCACGTGACAAACTATAAACATATTCGGAAAGTAAAATATATTACCAAAAAATGAGCAATTGCATGCTTTTTACTCGAAACAAAATAAGGCTCTAACCACTTCACTGACCATGTCTACTTTTATTCTATAAGATTGCAATAGAAATGCAAAATGTAATAAATCATAACTTGCACAAACTAATTCTAGCATATTGGTAGCACGTTATCTTGTCCGACTTTAAGTTATGTAAATAAAAGTATACGATTTGTAAAGGTCAATTCTGACGGTCATACGTGTATAATGATAATATTTTGTAGAATATTATTTAAAACTTTATCTTTACTTGGCCCTTTGTAAAAATGCTATGATGACGGGATAATATGCATGTTAAGTTAATCATCTTACTTTTGGATAGAGTTATAAAAGATCAACTTGGATTAAATTAGCCTTAAAATATTTGTACACTGACCAACTAAACTAACAAAAATCTAAAAGAAATCATTAATCAATATTTGCATGGGGAATAAGTTCCGGTTTTGACCGGCTGTCCTATTTATGTGACAAACCAATTATTTCACAACCTTAAAATTGTTCTGAAAATAAAGTAGATTATAACTGCCGAAACATTAAAAAAGGCCAAACAACTTTGTTATATTTTTATACGTGTTTTTTTTAGAGTAATAGGAGAATAACACGTGTATTTTCTTACCTGTGGGAGGTTAAGCAGTCCAGTAACTTGTGGGCAAAGACCTACTCAGAATGAAGTTTTAAGGAAAATGCTATCTGTCTCAGTAATGTACTAAGAGTTTCTGTTGTTGTTCATGATGCAAAGAACGGGACCAATGATATCTTTAAATCAAAGGGCTGCAAGCTCTGCGGTATTTTCTGATCTTTGCAATCTAAATCGTACTGTATCTCTGTATGTATTTTCCTGTATAAGTTTATTTTTATATACTATAATTCATCTTGCAGGGCACCGAGATGCAGCGACTGCGTTTAGATTTTTTTACTATAACAGTTTGAGTTTGGTCACGCCTACTAAACAGTGGCTCTTTCACATTGTGGTGATTTGTGTAAAAGAGAGCCATCGACACTTCCGTTATGAAGCCGTCGACCAAAACAAAGCAGAAAACGGTAACCACAGTTTATAACAATATTTTATTTTAAAAAATATGCTTCTTTTTCAAAAATCGAAGAATGCTATGCCACGTAGAACATTTTTCTCATCAGTTTTGATGCAGTTTCGATAAGAAATACTCTAAAATGACGTTGCTAGCACTTACCAAATATAAACTCGTGTACTTTCTTTCGCGAGGAAACACATCTTGAGTGATTTCTCTACCATAAAGTTAATGTTGACCCACATTATCTTACATGTTACACTGTGTCTAACAAACCGTTGGCTCAACAGAAAAGTTATTTCAAAGAGCTTGGTTAAAATTTAAATATTTACATTCATTCAAATGTGATTGAGCCACCGACACAGTGCTCGCGCCATCGGTAATGCGAAAAGGCCCTAGCAAATGTAATGGAGCCAAATCAAACATTCAATTAGTGTCGAAATTGTAGAATATTATATGATCTAAAATAGCTGCAATCACATTGGTCCAAACAGTATTCAACAGAAATACACCACGAGGAAGTTTAACGAAAACGGCCTGAATAAAATCAAATAATTCTAAATTTAGAATATCCATGCACCTGTTGTTTATCATTGATGTAAATAATTTAGTGAAAATCTTCTCGCCAAAACAGTCCGACATCTATATATTCCACTACTCGACAGTCAGATTTATCTGTGTAATACGCTCTGAAGTATTCGGTAATCGACATCGCTAAAAAAGCATTTTCATTAATATAAATCATATTCATCTACGTAATTGGTGATTGTGCATTTATTGACATTTCTATTAGCCAACGCTACTTTTAAACTTTGAATGCGTTGTAATTTGTTGGATACTTGTAACAAAATAAGTTTTAAACTGTTTTGAGAACAACTTGTTGTAAGGTTTGTCGTGAAGCTCTGTGTTGGAGATTGAATATCAGAATTGTATTTCCTGATCTGTGATCAGAAAATACAAAAAGGTGCGATATTTTCCGCTTCCGCGCCTAATTATTTTCCTACTCAACTATATTTAAGGTTAGGCTTGTCATAAATGGAAAATCTGTGAAACCCTGGTGCTCAATGCATCAGGGACACAGTGGTCTGTGTAGCAGACACACAATAGACAAGTTGTGGGGACAGGAAAGTGAGAGTATTAAAATGTTCAATGCGTCTATTTGGTCTGTCGACTGAACTATTGTTTTGAGCCCAATGATATGTATGAGACACGGGCATATTATTGCAGCTTCATTCATTATGTCGAAGTTTTCGGATTGTTATTTCTTTTCATTTTCACAGATATGAAATAGTTCATTATGTTTCACTGAAATAAATCAATTTCTATTATAATTTATGCTTGTTCCATCTTCCAGTACTTATCACTTCTGAAATACTTGTAGCATACTCTAACACCTACTGTAACACCTTGTTTGTTGGTCATATTCTTTCCTGAATTTTAAAATTCTTATATTGTACAGCTAAGAAGCAGTTAAATTTTGAGGCCTTTCAGGAAAATTTATTTCAAGTAAGGTTAACATATCTTTCTAATCTGATATTTAATTATAGACTTTATAGAGAGAATCTATATATCACACACCTATCTCATTTTTGAAGATTTATATATGAGCCGCGTCACGACAAAATCAACATAATGTGTTTGCGACCAGCATGGATCCAGACCAGCCTTCGCATCCGCGCAGTCTGATCAGGATCCATGCTGTTCGTTTACAAACTCTATAACAAGTAGAGAACTGATAGCGAACAGCATGGATCCTGATCAGACTGCGCGGATGCGCAGGCTGGTCTGGATCCATGCTGGTCGCAAACCCATTATGATGGTATTGTCATGACGCGGCTCATATCACTTTTAATGTCGTTTGTTGATTTCCTAGCACTTACAGACCTTAGTTGGAGTGCGTTATTTCGAGCCTTGATTAGTGATATAGTTTACCACAGATATACGTACACTATTTAAATTCCACGAGTTTACTATTAATCTATCTTAAGCAATCAAAGGATAGAAAGTTGTAATAACTATGTTACCTGTCTATATATTATGCTAGAAACGTTCTATTTTTATAATATTTAAAACAAATAAACTGTATTGTATTATACTGATAAAATTCGCGGCGCGCAAATGTCCTAACATCAAGGGGACCAGAAACATTGATTTAAAATCATATGTCTTTGTTTATATGACCATGGAGACAAATGGCAAGGGTATATAAATGCTACCTTTGAAATATAATTTTACTAGCTTGTGACTATTTAAAGCCACAAAATTGTTCTCTATAATTTTATATTAGCTCACAAAATTAATAATGGCCAACATTGTTGGATTTGTTGGTATTGGATTATCTGCATTAGTGATTGCTCTTGCGTGTGCCTCTCTTTCCTCAAAATACTGGCAAACTGTCGAATTAGCTGGCGGAGTAGCAAAATTAAACATGGGATTATGGGATTATTGCTTAGAAGTGTCCGGAACAAAAACGTGTACCAAAATCAAAGACGAGAGTTCAAGTAATTATGTTCATTTATATAACTTTAAAATGAACGCGAATGACATAAAACACGTGATATCAAAACACAATCATGTATCTTTATTTATTTTCTGACCTGTTGTCTATCAATTAAAATTTGTTTAAAGTTCAGAAATACTGATATGTTAAGTTTTTTTCCCCTTACATTTGAACTTCTCGAGAGCATATGGTAATGTTTACATACATTTGTACCTAAGTCACCTGTAATAGTCTATCATGCTGGGCTCTACATGGTTGGCTACTCCCTTGAATTTATCAACTATTTATTATTTGTATTTTTACAGTTTCAGACGAAGCAAAAGACGACGCAAACGCTTGCAAGGCAATGATTTTTGTCGCTATATTTGTAACGCTTGCAGCTTCTATAACTGGTGGTCTTGTTATGTTTGCGTTGAAAGAGAAGAAGATACTATACTTTGTGGCTGGTGGACTCGATATTTCTGCTGGTAAGTCTAGCATTGTTACAGAAACACTTCATACATCATATACAAACAAAATACAAATATCTTTATTTCTCTCAGGTCAGGGTATGGGCAGCATAAGACAAATAAATGTTTACAAGGTTTCGAGGCTCAATAGAATACATGCAAAATATGGGCATACAAGCATGTACACGACACAATGTAAAGAGAGAGCACCTCGACTACTTATAACGCGCAACAACCAGAGGTTGGGTTATCAGTTGAAGTAATTGTGATTACCTGTAATTAATTACTCAAATAAAAGTAATCACTTATCAGTTGTATTCAATTACTGATCAGAATATAATTACGTGTAACTTAATTCATACAGTTATAGCTATGAGATATCTAAGTACATGTATTCAAAATAACTTTTTGATTATCCATCTGATTACTGACTTTGCAAACAGTAAAAAACAAAATCATGTACTAAAAACCCATTGGAACCAATTAAACAAACAAATTCATTAGTATAGTGATTCTTGTGACATGTGTGTGTCATGTTCCTGATGAAAGTACTTTTTTCTTTGTTTTTTTTACAGTTGTCTGATACATTCTTTTAATGCAGACAATGGTGTTTGAAGATGCAGTTTATGTCAAATTGACATAAGTCCTGTTCTTTAGATAAACAAATGCTTACTAAATTCTTAATATAAAACGGAAACAGCAAATTCTTAGCAATTTTCATTTAATTATATACTATGAACATAGAAGTAGCTTCCTTTGAATTTTCCAAATGAAAAAGAGACATACGATAGTAATCAGAAGTAATCATGATAACCCATGTAAAAGTAATGTAATTCAATAACTTGAGGAAAGTTAAGGGTAATCTTATGTCATTAAAGAATCAATCGTAATATAAGGTAGTGCACCGCTAATTGGCACTATTCCAAACATAAATAAACTTATTATTTTTCAAAAGTACATCATTTATCTATCTCATCTATTTACAAATGTTTAAGAAAATTTCACTGTCTAGAAAAAAAACACTGTTTCTTTGACACTCCCCCTTTTCTGAAAACGCAAATTTTGCATACATCTGTTGTTATTCACAGCGATTAATGTTTGTTCTTTGAAGCGTGTAAACTGTTATTTGTAGCGAGAATTCTGTTCATCAAAGCGGTTATCTGATCTTCGTAGCGGGTAGCCTGTTTTTCATAACGGTTAAACTATACTTTATAGCGGGTAAACTGTTCTTCATAGCGGTTATACTATACTTTATAGCGGATAAACTGGTCTTCATAGCGCGTAAACTGGTCTTTTATAGCGGGTAATCTTCAGTTTGTATTCCGTCACAATGTGGACTTGGTGACAAGTTAGGCAAATCTTTGTTTGCATTGAGCGTTAAGCTTATCATCTATGCTTATCATCAATGCTTACAGAGGCGCATTCATGTCTATCCAGCGGTAATGCGATGGAAAAGTTTTGCAGAAATTTCGCAAAAATTCACCATTTAATATATTCTTACCATGACTTATTTCTATAAATGGATTTGTCTACATGTTTGAATAACTCGTTGATTCTTTCAGGTATATTTTTTATGATTGCTATGGCAATATATGTAGAGAAGTTAAAGAATGACGAATCGGATCTACACGTTGGTTTTGCCTTGGATGTAGTAAGCTGGATATTAGCTTGGGCCGCTGGAGGAATATTCTTTGGAGCTAAATTTATGGATAAGGATTAACATTCAAATATTACAATATTTTACTCGTTATCACGTTTACATTCAAAGAAATGTTTGCATGAATTTTATACATGGAATTTATGTTAAAAAATTCTTTTCTTTCAGTTTGTCTATGTAATCTTGAAACAAGCTGATGTGTATATGTTATTAATGCGAATAGTGGAAAACAAAAAGAAAACTATGGAACAAATATGGAATAAAAGTTAAATATGTAATGAATGTTCATTGTATTATATGTATTGTATGGAAACGTTGTTTTTAATTTACCCATGCACACATCAATATCTCCGAATAAATATTTTGTTTCATACTTATAATTTAATACCAGATTGAGACTGGGCCATCATGCATATTCACAAATTATACAAACCTCATTAAATAAAATTCGACCAAACCATTTTCAACCTTTTTATACACTGCTCGTTTGTAACGTCAATTTTAATTGGACAAATCGGGCGGTGAATTCATAGAAGAAGAAGAAGAAGAATAAGCTTTATTCTTTCACAAATCTCACACTACACAATTGACAAAGCCATAACAAAAGTGACGTAATCTGATGTAATGTTATAACTCTAAAAAATGCACCCTGGTGATTTATGATATCACAGCCAAGTGCCGCTTGTATATATACGACATATGTACCCTTTTAATTAATAAGTTACGGCCCAGTGGCGCTTATATATACACATCTATTTATCTATGAAATAAGTTGCTGGGAAAAGGTCTTTAAAGAATAGATTATTTTTAATATCAAAATTATCTTATTATCGTCTGTTGCGAATCTAAAATTATAAAAATGGCACATGGTTTTAGTTCTTTCCGGAATATTTATAAAATTATATCCTTCACTGGTTCTTTGAAATATTTTTTATACGGCGTAATGAAAAAGAATCAGTAAGTATTGACATAATGCATTCTGTTATTGTTCTATTAAAGCTTGAAAAACAATCATTAAAAGACATTGGCAATCTTATTTTCAACACGGATTTATATTACTAATGTAATATAAATCCGTGTTTTCAGGTTTGTCACAAATACGCCAGAATTTTCTAAATGACAGAAAATAACACAGAAAACTAGAAAATGGCCATTTAAATTTATAATAGGCAATTTCGTATGGAGGGCGTTCGTTGCCAAAATTCCAGACATGTAAAGTGTTCCTTTTTAAAATGACTTTTGAAAATGCGAACTTGTATGCCTACCATTTTTATTGTAAACCTCTTAATTCAATCTTTTATTTGAAGGTTACCGCCTTTATATAACAAGTTTACATATATATCGTAACAACTGACCTAACATCTAAAACGACAACAAATTTACAAGTTCGTATCTTCCATTGCATGCAATACATATGCATGTTTGCACAATTATAGATCTGAAATATACAAATGAAACGTAAAACTCGAATACGGAAAATAGAGTTTAAGAAAACGTGTTACCAGTTGTAGAACTACAAGAGTACGTTAACACAGTAACATGTTTAAAATGACAAAAGTAGATTCACAAAGTTAAACGATTTTAAGTCAAGCATAACGCCCCGCCCCTCTCGGAGTATTTACGAACTTCTATTGCGGACAGGTATAAAACGGCGCCTCTCCCATATTTTTAAATAAAACTGAAGGACAACATACGGCATTTTTCATAAAATATATATGTTACATTTGTTACAAAAGTTTTGTCAGTAGCAACATCACTTGAAAATTGCTGATTTTACCATTTATGATGAAGATAACTTATGCATTACCTTATTTTTAACATCGTGTTCTTATCAGTTACAAATTATTTATCATTTTAGTGATTAGCCTGTCCGTGCTCTGCCTAGTGCCCTGTCCTGTGTTTTGTTTTGGGTCCGCCTTGGCTTCTTGCCACTTGTTCTTGTTGCTGGGTCATGTGGGGTTGCGTTAATTGAGCGCCGCCTTTCCTTGTTGATCTTGTTTATCATATATTCCTGAGAAACATCAGCGATTGGGAAATTTTTAGGGGAAACAATGACCAACTTCAAGGGAGTAATTTTATTAATAATGTAAAAAACCACCCAATATTCTTATTGGTATCATTGAAAAATGTATTGGCACAAATTTCATTTTCAACAAAAACTATGCAAGTATATTTTAAAGCGGCCACCGAGATTTCCTTTCCGAAATCAAGAAAATACTTATCCGTAGCACATATGTACAATCTTTAATAAGGTATTTTCAGTATGAATAAAAACTTTTTGCACTTGTTCATTATCCCTCATATACAGACTCAATCAAACCGAGTCTGCAATTCTTATGTAATTTTGTAGTGATTAATGCTTCCGAGGGATCACTTTGTTTCCATATTTTTATACTTCACAACAGCAGGTTTCAAGTGCCGTGAGGCAGCTGTAAAAAGTTGCCCCGTACTTCACTTCAGTGTTGTTATATTTTTCTGGTCTTTCGGGATCATTGATGCCAGCGCTATTAAGTGTTGAGAATTGAGTACCGTTCAAGCCGGTGCTAGGGGGCATGAGGCATGTTGCACTTGTTCATTATCCCTCATGTGCAGACTCAATCAAACCGAATCTGCAATTCTTATGTAATTTTGATGTGATTAATGCTTCCGAGGAATCACCTTGTTTCCAGGTTTTAATATACTTGTTCAAAACTTATGGTCTTCACTTCATTCAATATTTATTTTCCTTTTTGAATAAAGTATCTAAAGGAAGCGACGTTATTTTTTTCCGAATATATGAGTGTGGATTTAAGAGAAAAAAAAAAACAACGATAAGTTAGAAACAAAATTTTTAATACTTCTACGTAATTAATTTTCATTTTTAAGGCATCACTAGAAAGGTCATTAAGGATTCTTAAGCACTATTAAGTGTTGAGAATTGAGTACCGCTCAATCCGGTGAGGGGGCGTGAGGGATGTTGCACTTATTCATTATCTCTCATGTACAGACTCAATCAAACCGAGTCTGCAATTCTTATGTAATTTTGTTGTGATTAATGCTTCCGAGGGATCACTTTGTTTCCAGAATTTTTTACTTGAGTCTAAAATTATCAACGCCGCCTTTCCTTGATGATCTTGTTTATCATATTCTAAAATTATCAAAATTGACCAAGAAATAAAAAAGTAAGTAGGGGCGCCATGTTTCTCTTACTGAATTTGAGTGTGTTTTTTTTTTTTTACTTGGGGATCATATGCCGTTTTTCATGGTATGGCACTTACGTGTCACATTGAAGGTTCCATGATAATCACCATATTAACACATCTGCGGATGTTTCAAAATTCAAAATTGTACCAGTTCATGTTGAATTTTGCTTAAGCCGGTGCTAGGGGGCGTGGACGATAACTTGCTCTTTCCATTACCGTCCATGAGCAGGCTCAATCAAACCGGCCTGCAACATTCTCAATTTTGTCGTTTTGAGCGTTCTTTAGGGATTCTTATTTTCTCTATTTTACAGAAAGTAACATGATAAACTTTTTAACGAAAAGTTAATTCATTTTGATTTAATTCCTTTTTATTTTGAGGCATTATATAATTATATATCATAAATCGTATTAATCACACTTTTATTTCAATCCAAAATTATCAAAATATATTACGAAATAAAAAAAAGTTTGGAGTTTGTATAATTGCTTGTATACATACATGTATAGATGTAAGTCATTTTTTTAATCTTATACATGTACTTAGCTTAGAATTGTTATCAGTACTCAAAAGGACACAAACTTTCCATAGAGCGCACTAAGAGTAAAATAGTCAGATTATTTCTTTAAGGTTTAACTGACACATGGTATGAGAGTTAGGGTTTGAAATAGAAATTAATAAAATTTTGGCATGAGATTCAGGATTTGAAAAAAACTTAAGCTTTGGCATGATATTCCGGATTTGAAATAGTAATTGGAACATGGCATGAGATTCCGGATTTGAAATAGTAATTGAAACGTGGCATGAGATTCAAGATTGGAAATAGAAATGGAAACATGGCATGAGATTCAAGATTGGAAATAGAAATGGAAACATGGCATGCGATTCAAGATTGGAAATAGAAATGGAAACATGGCATGAGATTCAAGATTGGAAATAGAAATGGAAACATGACATGAGATTCAGGATTGGAAATAGAAATGGAAACATGGCATGAGATTTAAGATTGGAAATAGAAATGGAAACATGGCATGAGATTCAAGATTGGAAAAAGTAATTGAAACGTGGAAGAGATTCAGGATTTGAAGTAGTAATTGAAACATGGCATGAGATTCAAGATTGGAAATAGTAATTGAAACATGGCATGAGATTCAGGATTTGAATTAGTAATTGAAACATGGCATGAGATTCAAGATTGGAATATGTAATTGAAACATGGCATGATATTCAAAATTGGAAATAGAAATGGAAACATGACATGAGATTCAGGATGGAAAAAAAATGATAGAATGATAGAAAAAAAGAAATAGATTCGGTATTTGAAAAGAAATTGAAATATACAAACGATTAGACCTATGGAATATTTGAACTAAGACTTTAATATAGAAAATTTGTAGAAATTTGTAGCGTTTGATCAAATATGTCATAAGTTTATATGTATAAATACATGTATATAAATATATTTGCTTGCTTGGAATCAAGGATGTTTCACGTATGTGCCTGTTACATTTGATGCAGATTTAGTTAGAAAAAAATTAAAATTATGTATATGTAGTATGTGAGAAGTTCACCCGGAAATGAACCTGTTTTTACAGTAAGTTGCTTCAGTTATATACAAGAAATATGTATCAATTTTTTCTATGAATGTCATTTTATTTTACTAATGTTTATCAGGTTTTTGTTTTGAAGAAATAGGAATATTGAGAGTTCAGACGTATCACATATGAATACATCTGCATACATTATTTTATGACAATTGTTAAGGCCAGCCAATTGTAAGAAAAAAGTGCACCTTCATACGGGGGAAAATTTTTTGTTTCCATTCTTCAATATTATTACTCTGTGTCATGGCTAATATCTTTGATATTAATGAATTTGTAATTAATTCATTAAACAGCTTTCATTAACTCAACAACTACCTATATGCCTTCAAATTCTCTCTCTTAGCGCATACAACATTTTTAGTGCTTTGATTCTTTTAAAATTTTAAAGTTTGAACTCAGATATTTTGTTATTTAAAGGATGTTTATATTAAAAGATTCATAAAGATTCATATTAAGAATTACCAATGGCATATTCTTTACTTGCCTCTGTCACT